TTACTCAGACTTGTTGGAAGTGACTGACAGTCTTGTTTTGGTCAAAAGGTATACTCTGAGCAGCTTCTAGAACCTCTGTTGCGTACGATTCTTGCGCTTTCAGGGCCAAAGACAACAGTGATGGTATGGATTAAGATACTTGGGATTGGCTTAATACTCTCATTGACAGACACTGTATGATGATTCGTTATTGTTGTTTTTTTAGTTGGGATATGAGATACGTTCGACGATTGTTCATGACAAAATGCTTCAGATGTGGAAAGACAACTTCGAAGTCAAAACCATACCAAGATCCAAGGTAAATTAACAACATTGATTACTCACAAAGAGAATCATGACTACGCAACAGTTGATTAGTGGAATGAAAATGTGCAGATGGATGGTGAATACCAAGATCCAAGCATTCATCTGTACATCATGGCACAAAAATCTCCTGCTGAGAGCTCTGAAAATCCGAGCCAAGATGAAGTTGTTGCTGACGCAGACGAAACAAAATGCGAGACGGAGGTCCCAACCAGAGAATGCTATGATTTACCAAACCGGTTGGAAGAGGAAGCCGTTGCTGCAACTCGTCCTCGTCTTAAGGAAGATAGTTTGCTGATGAGACTACAGGACGGAAAGCTGAGTGAATGGGAGATGAGAAGGTATGGTACAATAGCTGCACAGCTTCTCCGTGACGTTAAGATTGATGTTCAGGTATGATACATGCACTATATTTGTTCATATGAATTCTCTGTATAATATAAAAGTGTGTAATTTTTCATTTGGTTTTGTTTGTAGGTCAAAAAATGACTCCATTCAGAGCTTCTTCCCCAACATCTCAAACCATTTTTTGTTGTTTTTTTACTTTTGGTATCATGGATACAAGGAATCCTCCTGGCTTGTTTCTTTCAATGATTTAGCTGCTTGTGTTTCTGATCTGTGCTTCATGGACCGAGACTAGTCCTTCCAAAAACTCAAAAGATATTTATTCGCAACATCATTGATAACGACTTAAAGAAACAGACGACACTGATAACGACTTATTTAACTCAACTGTATATATCAAGAAACAGAGCACATAGATAACGACGACTTTGTTGTTGCTTTTATTAGCTGAGACAGAACGTATTCAGTTGTGTGCAAACTCGGATGGAATGAGCAACAAGAACACAAACACCGCCGCAACTGGTACAACTTCAAGCTGCGTTTCCGGTAGTTGTTCCGATAGTCTTGAGATCAAAGATCTCGATCCAGTAGCCATCAGGATCCTTTATGAAGGCTATGTTCTTCATCTTTCCTGCAAGTTTTACATCGAATAAAGGATTAAAACTAGACTTCCCAACACAAATGTATAAAATCAAATGTTTAAAGATTCAGCTGGTAAATAGTAGTACCATCATTCGGTTTCTTGACAAACTCAACTCCCAATTGTTCAAATCTCTCGCATGCCTTGTGAACATCATCAACCGTAACACCAATGTGCCCTGTAACAACAACAGCGGGAAAGTTTACATTTGTATTAATATACAGGTCTTCTCTTGTAGGGAATTGCCATAACACCAAAACTATTCAACTACTTTGTGAATGTAAAGAGAGAAAAAGTTAGAAACTTTTACCAAATCCACGAGGCTCAGAGTTCCCGTTGTGATAACCTTTAAACTCCGGATCACTCTCTGTACCCCAGTTGCTGTAAAAGGCATTCATAATCATATGTAAGGAACGTTCAATCCAAGAAAACAGAGAGAAAGTAAGTAAGGCATTGATGTTTGTTTCTTACTGAGTCAACTCAATTGTTGCAGGTCGACCAAAGGTCCAAACAGTTCTCTCAGTTGGATCGGTTGGAGCTGTTGAAGTATCCTGTACCATAGTAAATGAATCAAACTCAGCTTGTTCTTCTCCACTTAAAACCGGTAAAGATCTAGGTGATATTATGCAAATTGCAAAGTTCCAATCTTTGTTTTTGTAAGATCCTCTCTAGAATAGTGAATAGTTGAACTAAGCAAGGGTCACAGAACAAAACTCTACCTCGTAGCCCAGGAAGTACAAGCTAAACTTCATCTCAGAGAAATCCAGCCTCTTCATCAATCTGGAAAAAAGAGAGTAAAATATAGAGTCCATAAGCCTTAGAAACAAAAGAAAGCATATTCATTTGTAACCAAAGAGAGAAGAGCATTCAAGAGGTGGAAAAGAACTTACGACATTCCCAGCACACGTGAGTAAAACTCAAGACTAGCCTTAGGGTCCTTGATCCGAAACATCTGAGAGTTACAAAAAGATGGAACACTATCAATTGCAGATTCAAAAAAAACACTTCTTTAGACATTTCAGTCAAACATGTAGCTGTGTACAAAATGAAATACGCAAACTCAATGATTGAGCTTTCAATTTCAATTGATAATTTGGGTTTGCTCACAGGGACATGGGATGGATAACACATACGAAATTCTTAGCCGAGATTTAAACATAAGAGAGCCCAAAGATGCAAATTTTGATTAGAGCACAGAAATTACAGATCATGAGCTAACGGAATCTCATAAATCGAAGCTGAGGAGTGAGGAATCTTACAGTCTGCTGCATTATATACCCTTTTGTAGCCTCATCCCTAGTCGCTGACAAGCCAGGATTGTTTGCTGGTGATTCCTTCGCTTCGGACGCCATAGAGAACACACGAAGCTGATCAAATCTCTACAAAATCGAACAGACCCAGATGACTAAACAACACACATAGTCCAATAAAGGGGTTTCTAAAAAAAGCGTAAACCTTTGGCTTCCGGGTTCTGTTGTAAGGGCAATTGATGAGAGAAAAACCGGTGGGGTAAGGTTTAACGAAGCGGATTAGAGGCGAGATTCGAGATATAGCACTTGCTATTGAGTACGAACCCATGACGTTTCTAGGCACATAATATTTGAGAAAGCAAGAAAAAACAAAGGAAAGGAGAAATTTTTACCGCTGATTGAGAGCAGTGGCTGCGACCGGAGAGTGGAATAGTTTCAGTCTGCTGCAATGCGCTGTGTATCTAGAGACAGAGTAGTATTACAGTTCAAACGACGTCGTAGCGTGTTACAGTTCAAACGGCGTCGTAGTGTGTTACATACAGTTCACATTATCTAAAGATAAATATTGGCGTAGTAAAATGTCTTCTGATTGAAATAATGATTCTTTTCTTCTTTTTTTTTTAACTTGGAAATAATTTTTATAGGCTAGTGAATAGCATAAGGAAAAGATATGGTGATTAATCGTGTCTATGATGAGTTTTATTATTAGGTAGAGCAAGTTTGTAAATTGTGATCAAATTTAACTTAGCGTATTGTATTGAAAAAACAATGAATCTAATAATCGGATTGTATAAAATTTCAAGATTCTGAATCAGCCCCGGTGTGTCCAGACCATTTTTTGTTTACTAACGGCGTTTCAAGACTTTAAATGTTGTTTTTGACAAATGATTTTAATTTTTTTAGAAATGGTTATATGAATATATCAAATTGATCTGCAAGTAATTTATATTTGAAAAATATCTCACACACCCATTATCATATTGATATAACAGTGATGATATCATCAATAAGTTGACTTCTCAAATTCGGACAGCAGTTTTTTTGTCTTTTCTCAAACTTCAACAGACCTCAACACAGGGAACAGCGGACACGTCAGCAAGATTGATATATTCGAGTACCACGAATATGGTACGGCAACGATGGGTGGAGAAACACATGCACATATACACACGTATAGGCGTATAGTACAGCTCCTTGAAGTACTTATAACACTTTTGGTACAATATATATACGCGTATCTACCTATCAATTAGCCCTAGTCGATTGATATATGGTTTTAAATATTTTGCCACAGAATAATTTACTTTTACGTTTGTATATCCGCGCAAAGCACGACTAGTTTACATATCATGAGGAAAATCACAAAAATTTAACAAAAGACATCAAAGTTTCTAAATTTATTCGTAATGTTGAGTATTATGAAAACGTATATTAAAATTAAACCTGTTAGGTTAACAGGTTATATATGGTCAAAATGTCATCAATTCTATGGTTAAGTCTAATGGTTGACATGTAAAACTACTTATGCGAATCAAATTATGGATGGTTGGGCACTTGGGCATATATGTATAATCCATACGTCACGCTATCGATTAAATTACCCAATATTTTCAGTTATATATATGGAAAGTATATAATAAGTTTGTTGAAGTTATAAACGATCACATTGAAATTTCAAAGAGACAACTAATATGCAGCTAAGGCCAAATAAATTCGACCGTCCGGGAGACAACAATTAGATTATACACTAAATCATAATTATTCCAATCCTTGATACTATACGTCATACGATATAGATAATAACATTGATACCCTTAAGAAATAATTAAAAATTTAGTCTAACTGCATAATAGGGAATTACAATGACGACATCGCTTTAGAATGATTAAAGACGGTAGATTTTAAATGAGTAAGCATGATGGCAGTGCGCTTGATCCCATTCGGAGAAAAAAAGATAGAACTTGTGATTGAATGAAATCTTTACAAAAAATAGCCAACGAAACAAGTGAAAAGTAAGATGAGATCAAAAATGTTGGCGGAAACTTGTGTGGAATTACAAGTGAAAAGTAAGATGAGATCAAAATCAATATTCCTACATCGCATTAGGTTCTGAAACTTCCTAATAGTATATCCTATTCTATTAGGTAACAACTTAGACATGTCAAAAAGATTCAGCAACATATGAATCAGTGGGGTAGAGTTGTCATTTGAGAGGTGGATGGGAATATAAGCAACCTTTGGGATAAGCGAGAGACTAGGAAGATGCAATGGATTCCCAACAGATTAAAGTACTTTTAAATTGTTAGTTAACCGTTGAGAATCTCCAAAGAATGCTTTTATGAAATTGTCAACGATAGGAATCCTATATAAGCACTGGCTATAATCTCTAAAGTCCAAACATCAATCAATAAACTTGAAACATAAATATCTCAAACTTGTAAAAGAACTTCATATATAGAGCAATGGGTGATCCTACTGGTGAGCCCGGAAGCTCCATGCATGGAGTCACCGGTAAAGAACAGAGCTTTGCCTTTTCGGTGGCTTCACCGATGGTCTCAACCGACAAGACGGCCAAGTTTGACCTGCCGGTGGACAACGAGCACAAGGCAAAGGTTTTCAAGCTCTTCTCCTTCGCAAATCCTCACATGAGAACATTCCACCTCTCGTGGATCTCTTTCTCCACATGTTTCGTCTCCACATTCGCAGCCGCACCACTTGTCCCGATCATCCGGGAGAATCTCAACCTCACCAAACAAGACATCGGAAACGCCGGAGTTGCCTCGGTCTCGGGGAGTATCTTCTCGAGGCTGGTGATGGGAGCCGTGTGTGATCTTCTGGGTCCTCGTTACGGCTGTGCCTTCCTTGTGATGCTTTCTGCGCCAACAGTGTTCTCGATGAGCTTCGTGAGTGATGCCGGAGGCTTCATAACGGTGAGATTCATGATTGGTTTCTGCCTGGCGACGTTCGTGTCTTGCCAATACTGGATGAGCACTATGTTCAACAGTCAGATCATCGGTCTGGTGAATGGGACAGCCGCCGGATGGGGAAACATGGGCGGTGGCATAACGCAGTTGCTCATGCCGGTTGTCTATGAAATCATTAGACGTACTGGTTCTACAGCTTTCACGGCCTGGAGGATCGCTTTCTTTGTCCCTGGTTGGTTGCACATCATCATGGGAATCTTGGTGCTCACGCTAGGTCAAGATCTACCAGATGGGAACAGAGCGGCCATGGAGAAAAGGGGAGAAGTTGTCAAAGATAAATTCGGAAAGGTATAAATATTTCAACATAATACTTATAACGTAGCTATATATACATACAATGTTTCAAATCTAACTCGTGTTTTCGTATAAATTGTGTAGATTATGTGGTACGCCGTTACAAACTACAGGACTTGGATCTTCGTTCTTCTCTATGGATACTCCATGGGAGTTGAGTTGAGCACTGATAATGTGATCGCCGAGTACTTCTTTGACAGGTTTGTTGTTTTAATATCTATTTGCAAATGAAAAATAAAATAAACATAAATATAGCATTTAGAGATAACTTAAGAGTTAAAACATATGTATATGGTTTGTTCAGGTTTCACTTGAAGCTTCACACAGCCGGAATCATAGCAGCATCTTTCGGAA